TGTTTTTGGACTGGACATTAAAACCTGTGACATGCAGAAACTCCTCAGTGAGGTGCCTATTTTAATGAAAATCTATTAAGTTCCCATGATATTATTATTATTATTATTATTATTATTATTATTATTATATTCTAATCTGCATTGCATTTGTTCAGGGAGTGGAGGGAACAGGTCTGGCCTTTATTGTCTTCACTGAGGCCATTACCAAAATGCCGGGTTCCCCAGCCTGGTCTGTCCTGTTTTTTATCATGCTTCTCTGCCTTGGACTCTCAACACTTTTTGGAAACACTGAAGGAGTCATAGTCCCTTTGAAAGACTTGAATTTGTTTCCCAAAAAATGGCCCCATGAAATATTGACTGGTAACCTAACTTTATTTTATTTTATCTACATTTGATGCATTCCTCAGAATTTTACATTTAAATTGAACATTTTTAGAGTTTCTTGCTGGATTTTAACACAAGATCCATTGTTCTTATTTTTTAGGAGCAACATGTTTTGTATCCTTCATCATCTGCCTCCTGTTTGCACAGCCATCAGGAATTTATTGGGTAACTCTCTTTGATAACTTTGCTGGATCTGTTCCACTGCTGACCATTGGATTGTTCGAGATGATAGCTGTTGTTTACATCTATGGCATTGACAGGTTAGTGGTGCTTCCATTAATTTCAGCTGCATATTTGGAAACTCAAGTAAAGTGTCAAGACGAGTAGCTTTACGTTTCACTACAATTAAGCTGCATAAGCTAGCTGAGCTTTCTGCAAAGCACAAACAACAACGGGGTTAGCTTGGTGCAGGCATTTCAGCACATATCAAGCTAAAACAAACAGTTCAGGTATTAAGGGAAATACCTGAACTTAGACATTAAGATTCTTTTTCCGTTTGGAAAAGCAGCATCAAAAAGTGGTAATTTTTATATAACATGATGTTAAGCTAACTGAAATTTTCTTGTTTGGCAGGTTCAACGAGGACATAAAGTTCATGGTTGGGCGAAAGCCCTCTATTTTCTGGCAGATTACGTGGCGATTTATCAGTCCTCTGATTGTCCTGGTTATTTTGGTTTTCTACCTGGTGGCTCAAGCCCAAAAGCAGCTCAACTATCTAGTCTGGGACATAAATTCTGTAAGTTTGCAACCACCATCCTAGTTACTGAATCAACTTAAGCACCTCCTCTTTGTTTTGCTTTGTATCTTAATGTTCACTGATGCAATTATATGGCATCCCAAATGTTTATATTTATCATCATAAGTAAAGTCAAAAGACAATAAGCAATAAGCAGTCACACATAGCTTACCAGTTTGAAAAGTTATTGCATAAACTTCCATTTAATAATAGGTTGTTGGATTTTTTTCATTGTTTATTTACAGGAGACATTTCCAGCTTTGACACCAATACCCTACCCCTCATGGATCTATGCTGTTATCTTCCTCTTAGCAGGAGTCCCCAGCCTGGTAGCGCCTATGTACGCATTATGTCGGCTGATCTTTGTTTGCTACAAGAAAAAAATGTCATCCAGACAATAAATGAATACATCAGAGAACAAAGCAGAATTCAGGATTATTTAACAGCGCGTCCTGCATCCAGCATCACGCCAAAACATGTAATAGGCATGTTGGTCCACGGTGTCACGCTTTGCAAAAGTGAAATGGACACACGAGCAGTAATTTGCAATAATGGCAGACGGAGGTATTTTATCTCAAGCCACCATGAAAATAATCATGGGACCGCATTTGAACAGACATTACTAACACATTTAAATGTAAACACA